AGAGGAATATAGTCCTACAGATGCTGTGTTTGGCCCTATCTGCCAGCGGATCAAGAAGAACCTGCCTCTCAGCACGTCTGAGCACCCAGGTATCAGCCTATTGCCTCCAAAATGGTATCTGTAGAAAGAAATACTGTGGTCTGAGATGCCAGCTTCAGACTGTTACGGCTAGCTAGGCAAGCTCTGGTTTATTTGGCTTTTTGGTTGAATTTTCCAAGGCTAAAAAGACTGTATGAATTACTTTTAAGTGGACAGAAGCTTCAGGGTTTTTGCTTTTTACTGGTCCGTATGTTCCCCAGCCCACCCCAAGTGCTTAGAGGTAGCTGTGTGGTCTCAAAGAAACAACCTGTTCTGGCAAAGGCAGATTTTCTGCTGGTTCAATATTCAAATATGGTGCAGGTGGTCTGAGGTGTGCTCAGGTGCGATAGATGTGGTCTCTTAGTATGGTCAGAAATGTTACTCGAGACTCAAAGTGACGAGAAAGTGCAGAAGCCTCCAAGCTGGAAAGCAAGATTTCTGAACATCTGAAATGTGCTTTAACCAAGCAGGTACAATGCTAAGGAAAGGGGAGAGGGGAGAAACCCCACTGAATTTCAAAATGCAGTGTTCTTGCCGATTGAAGACTTACTGAGCTTCAGGCCTTTTTCTTTACAGACAACTTTCAAAAGCTTTAGAATTTGGGGTTTTTTTGCTCAAAACCTTACTACTTTGTGCAATAGTGTTTTAGCTATGAGTCATAGTGTACTGAATATTTCCAAAATCAATATTTACCTGTAATGCCCTTAATTCAAACCTAATGGAATCAGTCTTTACCTCTAACACTCTTAATTCAAACCTGATGGATTGGGGGGGGGGACGACATGGGGAGAGAAAAAAATCTTTCACATTTGTTTTTAATTTGTTCCCAGATAATTGGATTCCTAAGATCATAGACTACAGAGGAAAAAAAAGGTACCAAACAGCTGTGTCCACCTTTAACAAAAGCCAGAACTTAGACCTGAGTTAAACATTAATCTGACTGCTCTGAGGCACAAAGACCTGCTTATGGCGATAATGCCCAAATCATGTTGTTTGCTTGATTTTGCAAACTAAAACAATGAAGCTGCCTCCAGTGATTTTCATATTGTGTGACACTGAAAAGTTTTAAAAGCCCATGCTGGTATATGTAATAAGGCAGTATCTGTTTGGTAGTAGTGGGTCAAATATTTCATATCGCAAGATTTTGTAATTAGGTGACTGTTCAGCCTATTTTCACATGAATATTCAAACATGCGACTTTGTCACCTGCTTGCTGAAAATACCTGAGGAACACTCAAAATTCACGTGCAGAGATAGGCGTATATGAATGGAAAGTTTCTCAGCAGTGTTTTCCTGGTTCTTTTATTATTGTTTTCCCAATTATTTGCCTGGTTTTGAACATTTGAAAACACTATGTGCTTTGAAACGTTTTTCATGTGTCTAGAAATAGCAACCATTGTACACATTTTTTTCACTTGTTTGTATGGAAAAGGAAAAGAAACATTAGGAATCGTATTTGTGTAGCACATTACAAAGACTTGCAACAAACAGGTTTGGAAAACATCCTGGAAGGTTTCCATAATTAGCTTAATATATGCCATAAAAATGAGCAGTGACCATAAAGAGCTACTACGATATGCTTGGGTAATACTACAGCCATAAGAATGCTCCAGAACTTGGAAATATATAGCCCAGTCAGATTAAAAAAAAAAAAAAAAATTGCACGTTATGCGTATTGCAAAATAATGTGGTATAATAACGTTTTTAAGAGAGGCACAGATTTATTATATCTCTGTTTTCCTGCAAAAGGCTTTTCTAATCAACTGTTTGAATGAAATAATATTCCACACCCTTAAATACCCTAGAAACAGATATTTTCTCCATACTGGTGTGCATTATTGATGCATTTAATGGACTATTTTATAATGAGCATAAAAGCTCTGCTTGCAGCTTCAGCACACAAAGTCAGAGTTACAAGACTGATTTGCCAACAGAGGGAGTTTCTTTATCTGTTATTGGAGACAGTGAATCAGACAACAGGTATTTGGGGGGGTTTCAAGTTGTCTCCTTTACCGGGAGGATTTGTTACGGGTGTTAGGAATTTCTTTGATGCAGTTCTGTTTATTTACAGGGTATGAATATAAGTGCTGGTGTTCCTGGGT